ACTGAGGATCTACTGAGGATCTACTGATGATCCACTGAGGATCCACTGAGGATCTACTGAGGATCCACTATAGATTGATGGAGGATCTACAGTAGATTTTTGATTGTTCCACAGTAGATCTCTGAATGATCTAAAAGTCTTTACTGGATCTTTTGTTGATCTTCAGTAGATCTTTCTAGTTGTTCTATGACAGATATAGTATAATTTCATTGGTGGATTTCTTATGAATAACTTGGTGATCTCCTGTAGATCTCCACATAACATCTGCCCCCAAACCCTTGGATCTGTTGTGGATCTCCAGTGGATTTGGTGATCTGTCTCAGGGCACAGTCTCCATGTGGACCTTAGACAGGATGAGGTCTTTAGTGATGGAGAGCTGGTTGATGGATCTGAGGTTGGTGATCCGGTGTTTGAAATCCAGCAGGTGAGAGTTGTTGACGGCCACTTTAAAGTGTGTGCTGGTGCACAGGATCTTAATCTGCAGCAACAAGAGCACAGACAGATCCACTGACCCCTGAGCATCACTGTTACCACAAAAACAAATCATTAACAACAACTGTTACATCTGAGTATTTCTCATAAATCAGTTCCTGACCTCGAACGCCTGTCCCTGGACGAAGGGGAAGTTCTGCAGGTGTCTCTCCTCTTTGCCCCACTTCTTTCCAATGCAGCTGTTCCTGACGATCGCCTTCTTCCCTTCATCGTTGAAGCGAGGGTTGAAGTGAAAGGCCAAGTCGTTGGACGTGAACAGATCCACTGTGATCCTGAAGAACAGACACCATGATTTGCTGGAGGACGCTGTCAGAACAAATATTTCACACAGCGACATGAAGACAATATTATTGATTTTCTTCGTCTTTCTTCCATTATCCTAAATTCTGGATCTACAATTCTCATAATCCTATGGTTAGTTCTGATTCAGTGATTCAGCCACAACCTGCGATCTGGTTCACCCTCAATCTGTTTACCTTCAAAATAAAGAAACTCAATTGACTGTTGTCAGCTCCTGTTCTTTCAAAAATAAAAGCAGCTGAACAATCCATCATCCATCCATCATCCATCATTCATCATCCATCATCCATC